ACAAGCTGACATAGTATTTCATCACCGAGGGGAAAGACTCTGTACCTAGCTGAGGGGTACCGCAAACCTATGGTCGTTAAGCTGTTGTTCTTGCCGTGAGTGGGTTCTGGACAATGAGCCAGATTCGTTCCTTGTAGGGTGAACGGAAAATAAGCCGACTATCATTGACACTCCCACTAAAGACGAAGACATTTCGGTATTTGTTTGTATTCATCGATTTTCAAATCAACTTAATGTCGACTTCTTCAAATAATCCATTATGGACAGATCCGGCAACTGGTTTTAACAACTGGATGGAAGACGTTTATTATTCTCATTTAGTCAGGGGTTTATTGCACAAAGAAAACGGAGTCGAATAACAGCTTGTTCGGTTTAGCTTATTTATTCTGATCTGAACGTAAAAAAACAGACATCATCGGCAAAAAAGCCGTAAGGGGTTGTTTGGCAAATGGACAGATGAGCACGGAACCGTTTCGAATGGATGAGATCAAGCGGACTCGAGCTGTTGCAAATATTTGGACACTTTGACACGGAATACATCGGGTGCCACATCCAATGGGGTTTTCCCATCCTGGAACAGGAAACACAGTTTGGCAGTGATGTGTTGAATCTTGTCAGGGGTAATATATTGAGTGAATCACTAACCTGGTGTGTGCTATACAACGATGCACTGGGTGCTTGCGAAAACAAACAGGGAAAACGGAATTCTGCGTAGAGATGAATACCACCAGGTAAAACCTCTTCGGAAAACAGGGGGGTTTGATCATAAGATTGCGTGGGAAATTCCGCAGAACATTAACGATGAAACAAGTGTAGATACGGTACAAATTGTGTGGTTTGAGTTAGTGTTACTGACAGATTTAGGGGTCCAAGTTCTGAGGTTCAAACCCTTCCAGCATCATCACCTACCGTTCACCGTGAACAGTTCTTTGTCGTCCAGTCCAATAGCCTGTCACTTCTATTCGGGCTCTACATATCTGACGTTACCGGATAGCATAACTTTTGGGCTTGTAATGAAAAAGACATCAATCTCGTAAGGATAACCTCTGTGGTTCAATATCACACTTGTGCGTTTTTATCACATGATAAATCTAAGGTAGAGCAGATCTGATTACCTACTGTTTTACATGACGAGAGAACGATGCACATCGATCATGCCAAAACCAGTTTGTTAATATTGTGTTGGGGCAATGAAGTTTATAAAAAAAAAGGAAATGTAGAAAAACGGACAGCATACCCTAGCCCAGCTGGTTCTCAAAAAGATGCCAGAAACGCTACAACCGGGAAAAATCACCTCGTAAGAGGGGCTTTTCGCCCGTGTGCAAGTGAACTGCAAATGCAGAGGCCTGGTAACAGAAAGAATGAGCGAAGCGATCAGGAGGAAGAGCAAAGCAACAACCGGACAATGGGCTAGTGCCTGAATAGAGACAGTCAGCGTTGGACCACCAATGATACAGGTAATTTCACGTATGTAGCTGAATGCGAGCAATCACGGCTGGCTGATAGATCGTGCCAATTTGGGGAAAGAATTTTCGGCCCCGAATTAGTTACGTCACATACAGACCTGTCTTTCACGGGACGGGCGATGTGGCTACGCAAAGGATGCGGGGTGTACTTTTTAATCTGAAACGCCAACCACTTGGGCTGGCCGATGGGGACCTATGTGAGACTTACCTTGCTTTGTACAGTAGCCGATGCACCATGCTCCAGAAGCAAACGAACAGCAGACATGTTTTGTTCTTCACACGCATAATGTCTGTCCGAGAGAAACGAAAGGGTGGGTGGGGGGAAAATCCAGCAAACGTGGAACAGTTCTTCCATCAATGAGATAGTACATACATGGTTAGTTATTTTTAATCCACACCAACTCGCGCTACAGTTGTGAGTGGACCAAGTTCATTTAATCAGCGGGTGATAACTTGAGGTTTACCAAAATGGACCGTGGCAAGAGAAAATGTGACCTGAAAGGGACAACAACCTGCACTACAATTTCTAACGTTTCACTGACTTGTTTTATATTTGGTACAAATATTCTCACTTCCAATCATTCATGTTGTGCATATTATGAAATCATACAAAACAGACTTTGTTCTCCAGTTTTCTGAAGTTCGAAGCTTCTGACTGAAAATAAACTGCAAGTGAATTATCAGTCTACAGGTTGGTCGAAACATGTTCATGTACAAACGCCTAGTGCATGGCAGTTGTTGACTAAAAAAAGAATTCATTTCACATATGGTATAAAAACATCACAGAAACCAACTTGGGGGCAATCGTGCGTCCTGGGATATACACTCTAGGATGCAGATCATGCCAACACTATTGAGCGAAAGCAGCTTCACTTTCAGATGAATAACAATCACGCTTAGTTCACCAGCCCCAGTTACACGAACCATGTTGTCGGTTCTCATTAATGAACAGTCGACCTCAATGATTATGGGGTTCGTCTCAAGTGTTCAATACAAAAAAGAACTTGAGAATCTGTTTATCATAATTACCCTTTCAAAAAACTTTTTCCAAGCTGAAACCTCACCTAAACATCCGAAAAAAATCACAGTTTATACCAGATATTCATGTAATAGTACCTGACATTTTTCTCACCGAGTAACTACCGCATAATAAAGCCATGCTATGGACTTTCAGGAAATACCTAATCAAGCCAATTCAAGTCAGTGGTAGCTTCTTTATACGCGCAAGTGGGCGAATTTTCAGCTTCTTGGCGCCATCCCGGGGGATACAAGATAAATTAGACATTACACAGAACTTACATGATTCTAAAAAGATGTTCTTCTTATCAACAGACAAATGTGAAAAATATGACACACTAGAATTACGATGCGCATAACTGCGAACAAACTAATTTTGGAACTTCGAGCGTGTAAATTATGTAGATGCAACTTCTGAAAGCTCAATATGTGATGGATGATATATATACATATATATATATATATATATATATATATATACATTCAAAACAACAACCTTGTTTGCATCACCGGGTGACGTTTGGACCATCAGGATGAGACTGCACCTTCACGTGGTGTAATGGCTTGCGTGCCTCCATGACCCTGCGAGCTACACAGGATGGCTTTTCACAG